CTTTCTTTATTCCTTTGTTCCTTCCTTCCTTCTGTCTTTTCTTCTTTCTTTTTGAGACAAGCCGTTTCTTAATCACTAAATTGCTCAGGCTGGCCTCAAACTTGCTATCCTCTGACCTCTGGCTCCCAGGGTACTGGGATTACAGGTGTGCACAGTTCCAGAAAACTTTTTGGAAGAGCTTATTGAGATATAATATATATACCATAAAAGTTTATCCATTGAAAGTGAATAATTCATTGGTAATTACATAGAGGTGCAGTACTCATCATGATCGAATGTTAAGATATTTTCAACAACCCCAAAAGAAAGTGTACCCATTAAAAGTCATTCCCATACCTTACCCTCTCCCAAATCCCCAAGCAAACATTAGTTTAATAGTTATCACTATAGATATTTGACAGTTTGGATATTTCATATAAACAAGATCATACAATCTTACAATATGTTGCAACTAGCTTCTTTCACTTGGCATAATATTCATCCATGTCATAGTCTGCAACATACTTCATTCTTTTGTCAACTATTATTTTACTGTATGGATAGACCACATTTTGTTTACCAATTTGTCAGTTAATATACCTTTGGACTGTTTTCACTTTGGGACTATTATGAATATGCTGCTACAAACATTAGTGTACAAGCTCTTCAGTGGACACATGTTAAGACTGCTATAGTCCTAAAAGGAGCATAGATATATACATGGAGAAAAAAACTAGAAATCACTACTGGGTAATTGATTCATGGCACCATTGCTTTTGCAATCTACTAAAATTTTTGTATAGTTGAAAAAAACAGAAAATAAAACAGTCTATAAAGACTATTATATAATAGAGTAGTACTGTCCTACTTCATTGTGAAGACTGAGAGTTTTGAGTCATTTTTATTTATTTCTCGTCTATATAATTAAAAAAATTTATACTTACAACTTTTGCAATAAATAAAAATGTTTAAAGGCCCTGCCCTATGTTTCCAATATCTTTGTACTAGTTTATGAAATATTTAATGAAAATACCAGATACTACAATTTTAGATTCTTAATTAATCAAGATAGATGATTATCT